TTCTGAAATGTTTCTGAACCGGTTCTGGATTCTTCTGGGTTTTATTCGCATCGTTCTGCATTTTTCAGCTCTGGTGTGAAAACTATACTGTCACTAAAACTTTGAGTAAAAAATATTGGAAGGAAAATAATTTTTTATAAAAAAGAAAAAAAAAAAAGAAAAATTATGGAGGACTGCTCCTGTCAAAATTGGCAGTGTGTGAAATGTAGAAATATGTGGTTTGATTAAGTAATTAATGTACCAAATATTGCAACCAAAAAAATTTAAGAAATAGAAAAAATTTTCTTAACTCATTTTTTCACATTTATAATTTATTATCCATATTCCCAAGTTTATATTTTATTCATTAGTTTCCTTTTTTGTGTCGGTATTTTTTTCTCGTGTTTTCATGTTCTGTTGGTTATTTTTTTATTAGCTCTCACTTTTTTAAATTTCCTATTTGCATTTTCTCCTCCTGTTTTTTTATTTATTTACTGATTTATTTATTTAATTTTTCTCATTTTCTACTTTATTTTTCTTGTGACTCTTTGGAAGAAGTAAAGTTTAAAAAAGGGCAGTAGGAAGGCTTAGTGGGCGGGGCTTCAGTCAGCTTCTCTTCTATTGGTCAACACTGGTTGACTATGCAGGCATTGCTTCCTGCTTGTGGTCACAGACGTTAAGGAGGCCATTCTCTGAAAGACAAGAAGTAAATACAGAATATGAAAAAGGAAATTAATAAAACAAGAAGTTTGGAAATAAAATGAGAAGATAAATAACATTGACAGTGTTGCATTAATATAATTGAAAATGATAAGCAAATAATTTATCACTCTGTGTAAAGAGTTGGGAAAGTATATTTTGTTTTGTTATCAAGCAATTGATTTATTTCTATAGTTATTGATCATTTTGACAGACTCTGTCCTCCATACAAGAAATCCATTACACTGTGTATAAAGTGTTGCCAGTAGGGGGCACTAAGCAGAACTAAACACAGGAACTTTTTGTGGTCTTTCCTCCAGTGCTTCATGTGCCTCACTGGTTTCAGAGCTGCTTCTTTACTGGTTCCAATAAAACCAGCTCAGCTACTTCCTCTGCTGTAATCTGGGTTTCTGTTCCTGGAAAAGTGGACATGTCCCGTCTCTGTAGAGGACAGAGTCTCTTTGTAGAGGTCAAACTGATGACCTCTGCTTTCTGTTCCTTCTGTTTCAGACGTACGCGGTTCAGAGCCACTACGGCATTCCACATTCAGAGGTAAAACCCGTTTCTGGGAGCGATTCCCGCTCAGCTCCGTCGTCTCACGGCTTCTGCTCTCCGTTTGTCCGTCAGTTGGTGAAGCTGCAGCAGCTGTCCATGCAGCAGCAGGGCCTGGCGTCCATCAGCCAGGCGGCCACCGTCCTGCCCGGTAGGTACAGGAACAGCTCTGTCTGCTTTCCATTTGATGCTGTTATGCAACCACCGCTTCTTTTCCATCAAAGTCTTGTGTTTATGAGTTGAAACTGTCAACAGGTGGCGCTAAAGCTAACATTCCTTATGGAGGAAACAGAAAAGCGGTGAAAAACTGACAGCAGAATAACATGAACAGGTGAAAATCTGATGGAGTTCGAAATCCGCACTGAAAATCCCCAAAACATTTTAGAACAATCCGGGTTTTATTTAGGATTAAGGAACATTTTACTCTTTTTTTTCTCTGTTTGACTAATTAATAATTTCTCACCAGCCATGTTCAGTTTGCTTTAATCCGACTCCAGTTCGTTTGTCTTGAAAGTCCGGTTCAGTTAGTGAGGTGTGAATGCTAAGCTAACTCTGGTCCTCTGAGTTTGGATGTGAACGCCAAGCGGACCGGAGACCGCTCCACCAGCAGGAAGTAGACTACAGCACAGGGCATTCTGGGTAAATCCAACAAAAGCTAACACATTAGCCTAGCGCTAGCAGCAGAAATGGCTCCTGGTCTTTAGCCTAAAGAGAAATCCTCCAACACTAAAATCTGACGCCTCCATCTTGTTTCCATCTGGTGAAGAAGGAAGTTGCTCTCAGTGTCTTCAGTGGTTTTTGGTGCAGCGCCCCCACAGGCCAGGAGGGGAACAGGTTGGTTTGACTCAGAACCACAGCAGCTGGAGGTGGAGCAGATGATGGAGTTCTGGGTCCAGTCTAAGCGAGTCCACTGGACTATCAGGTGGAAAACACCCAGAGTTCATCTCACTCCTTCCTGTTCCTCTCATGCTCTCTGCGGGAGAATAATTTCACTGTTGTGTAATCTCTGAATGCTCTGAATACTAATCTGTGAGTGAGAGCTTTGATCAGAAGCCTCCAGCTGGGCCGACGGTCTGACTGTCGAGCTCCTCTCTCATGTCAGCCGATGGCTTCGGGTTTCCGTCCACTTCATGGAGGATTCACGCTGCTTCTGGGGAACCGAGCTGGAAATCAAACGTGTGACGGAACAAACAGACGATTCATAAATCCATGCAGATGCTCAGCTGCTTCTGAAGCACTGAGGTGTTTGAATAAATGATGAAAGACGCGGATCTGTGATGATGTTCTGCTGCAGATAAAGAACAGCTCAGACTCACACCAAGGGATGTGAAACCTTTGGAAAAAAGAGACGGAAACAGAATGGAGAAAAATGGAAGAAGTCAAAACATGATGAGAGAGACAGCAGACAGGAGAAGAGAGCAAAAACAACTGCTTTTATTTTCTATTTCCAGAAACAAACCTCTGCCTCCGTCTGGTCATGTTTCAGCAGAACCTGCAGCGCCGCTTCTGGGACGTCGTTCAGAGCAGATTCCCAAACTTAAATCAGGTTTTTATGTTTCAACTGATCCGGAGGCAGTTGCTATGGTTACAGCCCTGCTGCATCCTGTAGATCAGCGGTTCTGAACACGGCCCACGGAGCCGCCATGTTGGATTCAGGAGGAGTTCTGGGTTTTCCTGCCTTTACTCCAGAACCTCTGCTGTTCCGGATGCTTCTCTCTGATCCGTCTCTTTCTGTTCCCCAGGAGCGGTGGAAGCAAATTCCCAAACCACGTCTCAGGAGCTCCTCATTCCGAACGATGTGAGTAAAACGTCCGGCTCCGGTGGGCTCTTTGTCCTCCTCTTCCTCCTCTTTCTCTTCCTCCTCCTATTGTTGTATTTAGTGCCAAATAATTGGTCAGTTTTATGATTCACTAAATAAACAGATTATTTCTGTCTGAACAACAAAATAACCACAAACAAATTCCTTCATTTTGTATTTTGTAAATCCAGTTGCAGAACAACAGAAATCTGTCATTTTATTACTAACTTCAGCTAATCTGAACATTTCTGAGCCTCATCTTCAGACGCTGACATAACTTTGAAACCTGAAGTGATGTTGAGGTAAATCTCTGTCAGACCAGAATGCTCTGCTCCGTTTTAAACATGATTTTAAATGATCATCTCTCTCATATTTGTCTCTTTTATTATCTGCCTGAGTTAAAACTCCAGAGGAGGGCAGCTAATCTGCGTATGGACTGCTAGCATGCGTTCCTGCAGATGTGCATAAGCCTGGATGTTCCAGAGGTCATTCTTCCACAGCGTTTTCCCTCTGAAGGGATAATCTCCACCTTAAAAGGATCGTTTCCTGCAGTGAAACATGTCCAACGAGCAGAGAGCTTTAAGCTCCTGTGCATGAAAGTGTGTGATAGGTTTGTTTGTGAGTCAGTGAGCAGGCCGAGCAGAGCAGCTTAATGACATCCTGTAGCTCCCAGTTAGCGCTTTAACAGCAGCCCTCCGCCTCTTTCTCCTTCACTAAACCTTCCTAAATTACAGGGGCAGCAGGGAGTCGCCAAAAATAGCCGCGGCCGTCCTCTGCCCCGTCTGCTTCAGGCTGATTTCATCCAAACCTCAGAGGAGAACCGGCAGCCCGGCTGAAGCCTCCGCTCCGTTTCCCTGTTCTGTCCGAAGTCTGGTTCTGTTTAATGCCAGCAGGGGGCGCTGTTGGGGGAACTGCTTTGGTTTCAGGAGACAGAAACTGTTTCCTGTGTTTTTTAATGTTTCTATTAAACCCGACAAAAATACCAGACAACGTCACAGCAATTCCTTTTATCAGGATGTAAAGGAGGTTTTGTCCTTCAGCAAAATCACTTTGGCAGGAAAATCTGTTTTCACCATCCAGCTCAAAATGGGATTAAAATAATTTGTTTTGACAACTTGCTTATCAAAGTTTAGATTTGTTATTTTGAAAATAATCCCAGAAAGAAAACATTTCAGTTTTTTAAAAAAAGTAATTGTACCTCATGATGAAAACAGTCCTGGTGGAGACTTTCCTTCTGCTTCCTCAGGAGGAGGGACTGGTGCATCAGACTGAATAGTCGATCTAGATTTAAATGTCTATGTGATTCTATTGATATGTTGTCCAGCTAACGGTCTGGTTTGGCCACTAATAACTATTCATAAATGCAAAAGGCAATTATTAACACAATTAAATTAAGTCGGAATAACATCTGATTATCAGGAAAATAACAGCCAAATATTTCAGTTATTGTTTATGAGGATCTGCCTGAAGATACTCAGGTTTTAAAATAATAGATGAGCAAATAAATCAGCTTTGGTGTTTTTCAAACAGCAAAACATGAAAGGAATAAAAACAACTTCTCTATAAAACATACAAATTTATTAACAAAAATAATTAAAGTTTACAGGTAAAAACTTTAATCAACAAACTCACCAAGCTGAAAACTAAAACTACTGAAGTAACTAAAGTTAAACTAAAACTGAACAAATAAGAATAAAACCAATAAAATGAAGCAATGTCAGCTTTCCTTTGTTCCAGTCCAGATTCACTCTGATCCTCTGGATCTTTTTCTGGACTGATGGATCTGAGCAGGAGGAGAACATGCTGAGTTTTTACCTTCATATAAACCTAAACCCAACAATCCAGACTCTGTAAACACACCAAGAATCCAGAATTCACTGTCTCCAACATCAACATCCCAGCTGTGGTTCCCTGAGTTAAAACCCTCAGAGCTCAGGACAGACCGTGACTTAAATCTCTCTGGATTATTAGGAAACTGCTGTTCGTCTCCTGAAGTCAAACTGGTCAAATCTTCAGACAGGATGACCTTTGACCCAGCGGTGTTTGGGTCCAGAACCAGAGGAGTGTAGGTCACCATGCCCTTCATGTTGCTCCAGATGTTGAAGGCCAGGTTGCCCAGATGTTTGGCCTGGTCTATCAGAGCTCCTGAGGGCAGCTGTGGATCCTCCAGCAGGGGGCAGCGCTGGACTCTTTCCACTGCAGCCTTGTAGTTGTGCAGGAATGAGACGTCTGCAGCTCTCAGCTCCTCCTCTGTGGCTCTGACTGTGTCTGAAAGAGCTGCTATCTCTCTGCTCAGAGCCTCCATCTTCTCCTTCATCATCCCTCTCTTCTGCTCCTCTTCCTCCCTCAGTGCAGCCAGCCTGGCCTCCTCTTCCTCTGTCAGAAACTGATGAAGTTTCTTAAACTGCTCAACAATCTGCCTCTCTGTGTGTCGGGCCTGGACCTTCAGGTGTTCTGCTGTCTGATCAAACTTCTTTTTAACTTTCTTTCTGAGCTCCAGCTTCTTCTTTAAAAACTCCAGAGATGTTTTCAGATTCTCTCTGTGATCCTGAGCAGCTTCCCGGATTGGTCTGAATCTGTGGTTGGTGTGTTTTTCTGAATGACTACAGATGGAGCAAATTGGTTCTTGATGGTTCAGACAGAAGAGTTTGAGTTTCTCAGAGTGCAGACTGCAGAGACGCATTGGAGCATTTTGGATTTTCTGCTGTAGGAATGATTCACACAGGTTCTCCAGAACCAGATTTAAAGTCAGTTCCATCCTTGAAGATCTCCTCTTACAAACTGGACACTCTCTTGCTGGTTTCTCTCTCCACCAGTTCTTCAGACACTCCTTACAGAAGCTGTGGCTACATGACAGAATGACTGGATCCTTAAAGACTTCTTTACAGACCGGACAGCAGAGATCCTCCTCTGATCTGGAAGCCATTTTGTCTCTGAGTGAAGCTGAAAACACAGAAGGTCCAGTCAGTCTCGGCTCCCTCCCTCCTCTACTAACTTCCCTCAAAGTGACTCTGAGTGTTTTGGTCCAACTCACCTTCAGTGTGAGCAGCTTGAAGCAGCAGAGCTGGAGGTTTCCACTTTTCCCTCCTGCAGCTGGACTCACTCAGAGGAAGCTGCTAGTTTGGTCTGAAGGTGAATCTGATCGACTCTCTGCAGGAACCAACGATCAGAAACTGATTCCTGATTGGTTCAGGTGTGTCGGTTAGTGGGCGGAGCTTAAACCTATTAGACCTGCTGTTTCACTTTCCACTGAGGATCAGAACACCAGAACAAAACCTGAAGTGCTGTGACTGAAATCCACCAATCCCAGAATGTTTCTGTGAACGTTTCACCTCCAGCTTCCCTCTAATGTTCATCTTCTTCGTCTCCTCTTCCTCACAGCTGATTGGATCAATCATCGGTCGCCAGGGAACCAAAATAAATGAGATCCGGCAGGTGTCTGGGGCTCAGATCAAGATCGGCAGTCAGATCGACAGCAGCAGCGACCGCCATGTGACCATCACCGGCACGCCGATCGCCATCAACCTGGCTCAGTATTTAATCACCTCATGGTAAGAACCAGCAGACTGGGAATCCTCTCAGAAAACCAGTTCAGGTCCAGTTTGAAGACTTCAAACCAGCAAGTGGACAAATCAGCAATAAGCTTCAGGGATAAAGTGGGAAATGTTGGACGAAATGTTTGGTTAGTTTCTTTCAACAGTTTGTTTCATTACTGCTGCAGGAACCAAACCGAACAGAACCGTTTGGAGGAGTCAGTCCGGCTGAGGCTCCTCAGAGACGGTCGGTTGTTAGTTTTCATTAATAAACTGAACTGAGGTTTTCATTCAGGAACTGAGAACTGTCAGACGGTTTCCTCCAGGGCTGGAGGGGACAGAAATGTGTTCTGCAGAAGTATTCGGCCCCTTTGATTCTCCCTGGGGGGCCGAATCAAGGCTCTGAACTTTTCAACCTTTTCAGGCTTTGAACATAAAGATCTAAATTTTTATTATTTTGTGAAGAATCAACAACAAGTGGGACACAATCATGAGGTGGAACAACATTTATTGGATATTTTAAATGTGAAGTGGGCCCCTTGCGTTAACACTCTGTAGCGCCACCTTGTGGTGTGATTACAGCTGCCAGTCCTTTTTTGGCCGTTCTTCCTTAAAGCAGCTGGAGCTCAGTGAGGTTGGATGGAGAGTGAACAGCAGCTTTCAGCTCTTCCCACAGATTCTCCATTGGATTCAGGTCTGGACTTTGACTAGGCCATTCTAACACCTGGATATGTTTATTTGTGATCCGTTCCATTGTAGGTTTTGCTTTATGTTTGGGATCTTTGTCTTGTTGGGTGATAAATCTCCGTCCCAGTCTTTAGCAGGTTTTCTTCCAGGATGGTTCTGTATTCGGCTCCATCCATCTCCTCTGACGCTGCTGAAGAAGAGCAGCCCAAACCATGATGCTGCCACCACCATGTTTGACAGTGGGGATGGTGTGTTCAGGATGATGAGGTGTGTTGCTTTTACACCAAACTTATCGTTTTGCGTTGTGGCCAGAAAGTTCCATCTGAAGCTCCTTCTTGTGTCTCCCAGGTATCTTGTGGCTTTAAACCAGACTTTTTATGGCTTTCTTCTTCTTGCCACTCTCCCATAGAGGCCAGATTTGTGTACCACTAATTGTTGTCCTATGGACAGACTGTCCCACCTGAGCTGCAGATATCTGCAGCTCATCCAGAGTGGCCCTGGGCCTGTTGGCTGCATCTCTGATCAGTCTTCTCCTTGGTCCAGATGAAGGTTTAGAGGGACGGCCGGGTCTGGTAGATTTGGTCTGATGCTCAGAGCTCCTTCAGATGTTTAAAGGTTGGGAAATCTGTTTGAATCCAAATCCAGCTTTAAATTCTCCATAGCAGCATCTGGGACCTGCCTGCTGTGATCCTGGGTCTCCATGATGCTCTGAGCAGCCCTGAGCCAATCACAGAGCAGGTGCATTTATACAGGACCTGATTACACAGGCGGGTTCTGTTCATCAGTCATTCAGGAAACTTCGGATCATTCAGAGACCCAAACTGAACGTCTGGACTGAGTTTGCTGCACTGAAAGTAAAGGGGCCCAATGATATCACACGCCCCACTTTGCAGTTTTTTATTTGTTAAAAAAGTTTAAAATATCCAATAAATTTCGTCCCACCTCTTGATTGTCTCCCACTTGTTGTCGATTCTTCACAAAATATTAAAAATTTTAGATCTTTATATTTGAAGCAGCAAAAGGTTGAAAAGTTCAAAGAGGCTGAATACTTTGAAGCGGCTGTGTTTCCTGCATCATGTACAGAGAAACACAAACAGAAAGGGCTGAGCTCAAAGCTGCAGAGAGTCTGTCAGATCAGACTCTCATCTTTCTCTGCAGTCGGATATTTCAGGATCGATCCTCATGCAGCTGCAGCGATGATAGAAACGGAACTAAAACCGGCTCAAAGGTTTGTCAGCATTTGTCTCATTTTAACTGAAATATTCAACAGAAACAACTTTTAGCTGAACCTTTAGTTGTGCAGAAACGTTGGTCCAGCTGCCTGTAGGTCCGGTCGGCCCGAGCGGCGCCACCGCAGCAGAAATGTTTGGAGGATTCTCTCTGATCACAAAGTCTGATTTATTATCAGCTCATCATATTTACTAGACTTTGTTCTTTCCTTCCCCTGGTGAAATGAAAAACTTTAAGGCATCACATGACAGTTCACTACAGTAAATATGAACAAATAGTAATAAAAAATGTTTTTATAATCCATAAAAAACAGCAGTAATATTATAAATATCATATTTGTCTTTAAACATCTTCCTCAGTGCCTGAAAACCCTTCAGATCACATCCTGTTTCTCTTCCTCACTAAAATGTGCTGCATCATTTCCATCATTTCCATCATGTGCCGTTTTGATCTCTGCAGCTTGAAGCTCCGTTCAGGAACAGGTGGAGCGTCTTCATGAAACAACCTCAGACTGGCCTAGCCGTGATTGACTCAGACATTAAACCTGATCGTATAACTCATCCGTCTAGAACCCGAATCAAACCAAATCTCCACTCAGCTCTTTACTCAACACTTGGAAGTTTTTTCTCTGCTGAATAAATTAAAAATCAAATAGTTTCAGTTGTTTGAAATGTTCTGGAAACGTTTCAGACCCTGACTTTAAAACGGACCCAGACCCAGTTCTGCTGGGTGTTGAAGGTTACGCCACATCAACGTGCTGGATGACCTTCAGGTCTGTTCAGTGGCTAATTGGGACAAAAATCAGTTTGGAAGTTCGAATGTGTTGGTTCTTTCCAGACAGTCTGTTGGTGTGAGGATGGTTGTTGGTCCTGTGTGTCTGACGGCCTGTGGGCCGGTCCAGAGCAGACCTGACTGATGGACGTGGGGACGGATGGAGGACAGATGGACTTTGGCACCAAGTTTAAGGCGTTTTTTCCTGAAATTTATCGGTTCAGTTCTGTTTGTCCAAGAACAAAAGCCAACCCAGAGCTCAGTCTGAACCACCTTGTTGGTGACGATGTGAAGCTCTTTTCATCGTTCTTCCTCCTTTTCCAGGGTAAACAGTGAATTTCTGCAGAACCCGGGTATTTTCTCAGATCCGCAGTGAAACGTTTCTGCATCATGTGTGACGAGCTGCCATGCTAACGTGTCTGTGATGGTTTTGTTTCCTCCTCCCTAAGCCCCCTCCCAAGCCATCACCCCAACTTATACAGCACACCCCCCATCCGTACAGCGAACCCCCTACAATAATCTGTTGCAACCTCCAGCAAAACACACCTGTCTTCTGATTTTCTGTTCTGTCAGTTTTTCATTTTTCTCTCCAAAAAAATCCTGTTTGGTTCCGTTTTGGTTCACATTCAGTTTTTACTCTTGTTTTTTTTTAACATGTCTTTTATTTGACCCTCTAACCCTTCTCCATCCGCCCCCCCTCCTGCCCCGCCCTCCTGACCCCTGTGCTCCCTCCACCCTCCCTCCTCCACCTCCTTCCTCCAGTTTAGAGACCGCCAAATCCACCGCCCAGTCCTCCTCCATGTCGTCTCCCGTTGACCTGACCATGAGCTTCACCCAGCCCGCCCCCCCCGCCTCCGCCTCGTCCTCCTCCTCCTCCCCCCTGGCAGCGATGGGTGCTGCACTGCCCCACGCTCCGATCCTGGGCGCCCCCTACGCCTTTCCCCTCTCCAGCCTCCTGGGAGTGAAATCCATCCCCTACCTGGCACTGTCCACCCCTCCCGCCTCCGCAGCAGCAGCAGCGGCGGCGGCGGCGGCCGCCATCGGCGCGCCGGTGATCCCGAGCTCGGTGCAGACGGCGGCCACGGCGGCGGTTCCCGTCCCGGCTCACGCGGCGGCCGCGCTGGCGTCCTACACGGCCAAGATCTCATCGTCCGCCAACGGGATGAAGAAGCCGGAGAGACAGAAGTTTTCTCCGTACTGATGAAGGAGGACGGCCGTCTCTGCGGTGGCTCCTGGGCTGCTCTTCAAACTGCAAGGGCCTCTGAACTCTGTCACTTCCTGTTTCCATCTCTCTCTTCCTCTCCTGACTGCTAGCAAAGATCACTGTGGGATTATTGGAACATGCATGATTTATCTAAAATAATACCGATTCTGTGAAGCCAACAGCGATCAGTGAAGGTGAAGCGAAACCGTTTGGTGACGTTGAGTCCGGTTCCGCTGGACCGCAGCAGATTTAAAACGCTCATCTTAGTTTCAGAGTTAAACCAGCTGAACCTGCTGATCATCTTCACTGATGACAAGAAGGATCCTTTAAACCTGACAATCACCAAGTAGCTGCAGCGGTTACCTCTCAGGGTCAATGAGTCCGTCCCGCCTCTCCGTGGTTCACCCTGTAAATATACACCGTCCCTGGAAAGAAACGATTCGACCGTTATGAGGACGAACCGGGTCAATATTCTGCTCCCCGCTTTTAGCCAAGTCCAGTTTAAAACGAGGCGCTGACCATCAGTTAGTGTTGGTGGCGTTGCTTCATCCTGGGTTTAAATCCCAGCTGTTTTCCACGTCAATCAGAGATGGCAGCGTTTCTTCAGAGGTCTGAGTGTCTGGGATGGTCGCTCCGAAGTCCAACCGTTTCTGGACATTTCACACACACTCTTCACACTCCACTGACCCACCGAGCCGAGCTCCTGTGAAACCCTCCCACTGCGGCAGATGTCACGGCTTACAGCCGTAAACACGGCAGACAGGAAGGGATGTTACCAGTTCAGAGGAGGAAATAATGATTAACAAGATGCAAAACCTCATTTTATTTTCCACGTTACTGGGGAGAAAATCAGCAGAAGCCATCAGAGGGACGTTTTCCCGCCAAATCGGACCAGAACCGAGCAGTGGGAGGTCAGGGTTCTGGTTCTCACCGCCTCAGACTAAACAGCTCAAACTGTCCGTCCTGCTGGCTGAACAACCAGCTTCTGGAAGCTCAACAGAGCGGAGACTTTTCCAGGGTTTGTGACAAGAAGAAGAAAAACAACGACGTGATTTTTGCTCCTGCGGCATTGAGAATTGTTTCGTGGGTTCGGCTCGACCTTTAACTCCGTCAACATAATAAAACTGATCGTCACGAGATTCAAACTTTACCAAAAGCATTAAGGGTTAATCACAGTATCTTATTGTCACCACAAGGTGGCAGAAGAGTACCAAACTTACTCCAAACTGCAGGAATAAACGTAGCAAAGAAAGTTTCTGCCTTAAAACATTTTGTTGGTGCTTGAAGCGAATCCACACCACTTTCTGCCCGTTTGAACTTTTCCGCTAACAAACACAGAAAACCAGTAAAATGTTAGTCTCTCTTTAGTTGGTCCAATCATAAATGAGATGCATTATGTTTAATAAGCCAGCAGCCATCTTGGAGTTTGAGGCTGAGAAGCTTCATGTTCAGGCGACGTCTGAGCAAATCAACCGATTTGAGTTCAGGTTTTGTACGGATGGCGAATCCTGTCATGTTTTTATTGGCCGGCTCCGCCCACTATCGTTTAGCAGCCATATTGAAATCTGAAAATGGAGGAAGTTGTTTAAGGGGGCTACATAAAATGAATATGAATTATCATCTTTTTATTTGTTTTATCAATATGGTGGTTGATCTGAGACTCCAACAATCTGCTCCTTTATTTCCTGCTTTCTACTGACAGCCATCACATATTCAGCATCCATGTCAGAATCTGCATCGTTTCATTTTCCAACAATCCCACAAAGTTGAGCTTCTCTCTGGTTTCTCCTCCCTGGTTGGTTTCAGCAGCTCAGAGTCCGGAGGCGGCGGCTGCCTGCAGCCTGTAAAAGCCATAAAGACTTTCCAGCTCTCCTTCTGTCTGTCCTGCTCTTTGTCACACTGTATACTCCTATATTTATTATTAACCGTTATGAAATATTCCCTCACAGTTTATATCACTGATCACTAACACTGAGCTGACTTTGTATACGATGTAAATGTACTTCCTGCTTCTTGTCTCGTTGGTTTTCTTGTAAAGATTTTTTTAAGTCTTTTTTCTTTCAATTAATTCAGATTTATTTAAATTATTTTTTAACTTATTTAGAGAAGTATTACAGCTATGGGTTTAGATGAAATTCTGTTTCCAATATGACTGTAAAACTGTATTATGTTTTTTAAGTGTGTGAACCAATTAACTTTTTCACTGTAACATTGGTAATTGTCTGTTTGTGTTGAAGTGTTTCCACTCGTTTGATCCGTCTGGATATCAGAACCGAAAACGTTCTGAAATCTTTCCTCTGATTCTGAGCAGAACTAGAACAAGCAGAACTACGGCAACACAGCGACCCAAAATACTGAACAGCAGGAGGATTTTTACGGATAAACAAAACACACAATAAATGGAATAATAAATAAATGAGATTTATGGAGTTTATTAAAAATGGCTGCTAATGACAACATACATGATTTTAAGCAGGACAGAGTGGGTTCTGAAAGTACGGAAAGCCAAAATGATCAAAACTTTGATCAAATATTTAAAAAATCAGCTTTTCAGTGGTTTGGTAAATTGTCTGAATTCAGATTAAATGGAGACTCAAAATGTGTCTCCACGTTTGAGACCGTCGGGTCGCACAACTTGAACTGGAACTTTGACTTTCTAAACTTCCTAATAAAACAGAGATTGTTCCACAAACAGCAGCCAGATAAACGTAGAGAGAAACATCAATGCCAACAAGCTTTTATTAAAAAGATACAAATAAACCAGAAGCAGCAGCTTTAACAAAACATGTTGATATTATTCTACTAATTCTAGTTCTGTAGCAGATTTTCTCTGTTTTTGATTTTTTTCTTTAATTTATTCATTTTTCTGGATGAACTGAGGAACATTTCTCTGGATCCTCGCTGCTGCTGCATGTCTGCTTGGCCTCACTAACACACACACACACACACACACACACCAGGCTGCAGCGTCTGGGGATCAAAGCAATACTGAGCAGCTTCAGGTTGAACTGGACGTGTTGCATAAACTTTCTGTTTGTATTATTAACTACTGATGATGATGATGATGATTAACAGGCTCACTTATTTTTATAAAGTCACATCACTTCTTTCTTCTTCCTCTTCATTGTTTCTGTCGTTCCTCCTCCGTCTGCATGAGTCTGACTTGAATTGATGTCTATGCAAAAACAGTTCTGAGGTCCAGTTCAGGTGGACCCGGTCTGACCCGGTGTGACCTGGACTGGACCGGCGCTCCTGGTTCAGACTCACAACACATCCGCCCTGAAGACGACTCACCCATCCTGTCTGCGGGACCCGCCGGGTCGCACAACTTTATCTCTATTATTTCATTTTAATCAGAAATCAGAGGTTAGATTAACGGTGCACCGATTTTGGCCTTTGCCAATTTTTGTCTGAAATGTTGACTTGCTGAGTTGGCAGCAGTCGGCTCCCTGTTGTGAACTGACCTGGTGGGCGGAGCCTCCCTGCAGAGCAGCGGCTGGTTTCAGACCTTTGCTGAAGTGGATCAGATCGGCTTCATGTGAACATCAGCAGGTCCGATCTGTCGGTTCATCCACAGTTTAGATGTTTGCATTAATTTAACCAAAACAGATGCTTTGAATCATTCATAATAATTATCGCCTCCTGAAATGATCGAATATCTGACTCTAATCATCTTTGTCAAAAGTAATTTTAAATTTTTTTTATGCAGAAACTATTGACAACTATTAATAAACCTCTTAATGTAAATTAAATGTTAGATTTTCTTTGTTTAGCTGAAGTAAAAACAAACACACACACACGCAGGTGAATTTTAAATCTAATGCTCATAAATAGTTCATGCTGTTAAAAATGTTTACGTTTTTAAATCTACATTTAGTGTTTTTTTGCTTCTCCATATTAACAGCAGGTTATGATGGTGCTGAAGATCTCAGGTGAGGAGCGAAGCAGCGTCTCCATGAGCAACGAGTCAGAAAATCAGATTTACATCAAACACCTTTTAAACCAGACTGATAAATATTTTCACCCCCTGCTGGGATCAAGCAAACATTAGGATCAAATAAAGAAAAAAAAGTAAAAATAAGACAAAAACATCCTTCATATTATGAATCCTATTTATGTGGCAAAACCAGACCTAACATTTGGCGTTTCCTGACCTACAGTTGGCCCGTGAACCCCCGCTTGGAAGTGACCTGATCCTAAAACCTCTCTGAGGATATTTCACTGGTTAGACAAACTTCCTGTAGGTCTGACGCAGACAGGAAGTGGATCTCTGCAGGGAGATGCAGACAGGAAGTGGATCTCTGCCGGTGAAGGTGTTGCCTGAGTCTGAACAGCACCAAGCGCTCAGCAGCAGCTGAGGACAGTTATGAATATTATTGCACTCGAACATGAAAACTCCATTATGACCAGAAGTTCTGTGAGTCCGGTTCCCGTGTGTCTGGGTCAGCGGTTCTGCTTTCTTCCATCCACGCCATGTTCCAATAAACGAGCACTGAAAGAACCGGTTCCCCTCGTCTCTGTTTGTTCTGTTCAAAGTGTCCAGCTCTGACCGGCTCGGACCAGAAACCCAAACCCAAAGCTGTGGGAGGGGAACCCTGTCGCCATGGCAACGCTACCAGAGACGGACCCAGAGTTTCTGCTTTAGGAAACTCTCTGAAGAAGAGAAAATGTGAACATGTAATCCTCAGTCTCTGCTACGCTGCAGCTAGCATAGTCTGTCATGAATGCTCAGGCTGGCTAGCATAGCCACCAACGACGGCAGGTAAACAATTTTCCTGTAAATGTAAGTTGTGTACCTGTCATTACCGCATTCAGCAGCGACTACATGAGGTGATTGACAGCACCAAGCCCCTACTCCAGGCTCTAATTGGCTGTTTTTCCATTATGCTTTAGCAGCTCAAAGAGGAGATCGATGTTTTCAGATTGTTTCATAATAAACTGTAACAGCATGGAGACAGTTTTAACAAAAATGAAAACATTTTTTTATAAAAGCTACAAGCTTCAGTTTTAATTAACACATGGATATGAATATTTTAGATCGTTTTCAAAGATAAGAGAAACAAGAAATTAGAACACTGATTTTTATATAAAGAGCATTTTATTTATTACAGTATAAAATACAGCTTATTCACAGGATTGAAAAACAGAAACATTAATATAACCTCCAGTCAGACATTTTAGTGTTTATATTCTTTTATTTTTGTTCAGTTTCAACCAACGCAAAACAGCGATAAAAGAAAAATAAAGTGTTTAGCATCTTTTCATACTGAAGTAATTTGGCACTATACAAATAAAGATGATTTGACTTGACTGACATATTAAAGCACAGAACTTATGTAAAATTTCAGTTTTTGCAAACAGTCTGATGGGTCAGATTTGGCCCTCGGTTCTTGAGCTTGAGACATTACAGCATATTCTTTCCCAATAAATCTCCATGTATTAAAATCACTTTTACAGTAGTTCTTACTTTCAAAGATTTTTTTGGCATGACTGACCTTTTATTGAACACTAATTTGACAGGAAATAAAGTGGCGAGCAACTGGAAACCAGGACTCCAACGTGGGCTCAGCTCATGGCGCCCCGGCGACCAACTGATACACAACTTATCATTGTAGAGTTCTTCTCTCCTCTGCTAAAGTCGATAAAGTCTTAGAATCAGCCAGAAATGAACGGCTTCAGTTCAAATCAAGTCAACAGGGCTGTGTATTTCATTTACCTTAAGTAAAAAGTTTAATAATTTGGGGGTTTTAGTAAAATTTGCTTCACTGTGGCTGAACTTCAGCTGCTTCTGTTACGGTGCTGATCATCACTCAGAGCTCTGCTGCCCCCTTGTGGTTAAACATACCAAGTTCTCACATTTTTACTCTGCATCGACTCTAAAACCTTCACAAATTACACACAAAATCCCATTTATCACCCGTTTGAACAATCTGAGCTCCACCTTACTGTCAGAACATTTTAGCAGCACCAGTTATTCTTTAGGAAGGAAAAACTGAATCCTGGCAGGATTTAAATTTTCTGAGGAACTGGAACCAAACTTGGTTACCGTTGCTTTAAAATCTTAATTGTCATAAAAACAAAAAACAACAAAAAAAAACAAAACAGTTTTTACTCAAACACATCTGTAGGTAACTGAAAGGTTCAGCATTTTGCTCACTGAACTCACCAAAGTGAACCTGACACAAATCAGGAAGCCCATGATTGAGTTGCATCACACCTACTTTGGAAATCTGGGTTGTTGGTGTGTTTATGTAACAATTATGTTGAAATGTTAAATTTGACCTTAGATTAATTTTCCTTTGCTAAACCAACACACTCCACTCTCCATCTAGGCATTGAGTATCAATAATTCTTTCAAAATTTTGACAAAAATCAAAACCAACAATCACAAAAAGTGCTAGTTTGTCTCATGATGTAACCGTGCCTTAAACTCCTCAACTAACCCCTGACCTTGCAAATATGTGGCAAACATCTGAATCACAAAAACGAGTCTTTTGTGCATTTAGAATGGATCACAACGTCCAGAATGTCAACTTGCAATTTGTTTTTCATGAAATCTTGGAAATATTCATACATATGGTCAGAGGTAAAAACTCAATTACATTGTTTTAAAAATAACCAGTGTGTGTGCAGCAGCTGCAAAGCCCCTTTGAGCCCACAGGCTGCCAAACCTGCAGCTGCAACACCAGGTTTTATGTATCTAATGAAATGTTCAAGGAACAAATTATGAATATGCAAACAGACATTGGCACATCTCAAACACTTAAATTCTTAGTAGGAAAATGGGTTTTAGAAACAACTTTGCAGTCGTTCAAGTGTTCCACATTAAGATCTCTTAATATTCACATGTGAACAGTTTCCGCTGCTGTGTGAATTTTCATGTGACTTTTTAAATTTGACTTGCTGTTAAATTTTTTCCCACAAACATCACAACTAAATGGTTTGTCTCCTGTGTGAATTCTCGTGTGGATTTTCAAATAGGATTTTTGTCTAAATGTTTTCCCACAAAAATCACAACCAAAAGGTTTTTCTCCTGTGTGGATTCTCATGTGAATGTTCAAACAGGATTTTCGTCTAAATCTTTGTCCACAAAGCTCACAAGCAAATGGTTTTTCTCCTGTGTGGATTTTCATGTGATTATTGGAATCTGATTTATCACTAAATCTCTTTCCACAAATATCACAATTAAATGGTTTCTCTCCTGTGTGGGCCCTCATGTGACTCTTGAAATGGCATTTATCTCGAAAGCTTTTTCCACAGACGTCACAACCAAATGGTTTTTCTCCTGTGTGGATTCTCATGTGTTTATTTAAATGTGCTCTTTCGTTGCATCTTTGTCCACAAACATCACATCTGAAAGGTTGTTCTCCAGTGTGGATTCTCCTGTGACTCTCTAAAATTGACTTTCGACTAAATCTTTTTCCACATGTTTGACAACAAAATGGGTTTTCACCTGTATGGATTCTCCTGTGGATGTTCACAGCTGACTTGTGGCTAAATCTTTTCCCACAAAGATCACAGTTAAAAGGTTTGTCTCCTGTGTGGATTCGCATGTGACTGTCCAAAATACACTTACGACTAAATCGCTGTCCACAAACATGGCAACCAAATGGTTTGTCTCCCGTATGGTTTCCCATGTGAACGTTTAGCACTGATTTATCACCAAATCGTTGTCCACATACCTCACAGCAAAATGGTTTCTCTCCAGTGTGGACTCTCATGTGCCTTTTTAGATGTGATCTTTGGTTAAATCTTTGTTCACAAACATCACAGCTGAATGGTTTGTCTCCAGTGTGGATCCTCATGTGGGTGTTTAGAACCGATTTCTCACCAAATCTTTGTCCACAGAAGTCACAGCTGAATGGTTTCTCTCCTGTGTGGATTCTCATGTGACAATCTAAACTAGACTTCCAACTAAAGGTCTGTCCACAGAGATGACACCCAAACGGTTTCTCCCCTGTGTGAAATCTCATGTGTCTGTTCAAGTTGGATTTTTGTATAAATCTTTGTCCACAAAGTTCACAACTAAATGGTTTCTCCCCTGTATGGATTCTCACGTGTATTTTTAGAAGATTTTCCCTCAGAAAGCTCTTGCCACATTCATTACAGCTAAAACATTTCAGATCCATTTGGGATTCCCTTGTTGATTTCAAATTCTTCTTCATTGTATATTTTTTGTTAACCAAACACCTTAAAGAAAAGTCTCCTAGCTGAGAATCAGGACTGTTCAAATTTCCCCCATTTTCTTCACTGACATCCGTATCTGAAGAGCTCCTGTCTGCATTAAAGTCCAGGTTCCTACAGTCCTCCTCCTCAGTTTCTAACTTCCCCAGGTCAACTGAATGACTGACTAGAAGATCTGCGTTCCCCATTTGCTGTGAGGAAACAGGTTTCGCTTCCTCATCTTCCTCAGTCTTCATGATGACTGTGGTTACTGGAAACCAGGTGGCATCAGCCTCCTCCTTCATACTGGGCCAGGGATCCTCCTGCTCCTCCTTTATCTGGAGCGACTCTGGATCCGACAAGTCCCCACCAGGACTCCGTCCTTCAGGAAGCTCTTCCTTAACCAGCAGCATCTGCTGAAAATCTGCAGGCAACAAGGGAAGATCATAATCTGGTACATAGAAAAATGCATAAATAAAATGACGGCTCTATGATCATAAAATGTTTTCTGAAATATGGGGAAGTTTAAAGTGTTTTTCTGAAGAGTCACAGTTTTCTTGTTGAGACAAATGTATTTTTGAAGGAACAAGATTAAAATGGCTCTTTTAAAAAAAGAATAACAGTATTCCAATTCAGTTGCAATCAGTTTGGGGCAGACAGGATCAAATGGCATCCAAACTGTGGAACAGGCATTTCATGTAGCAAGACTGTAAAAAGAAGAGGCACTGCTGCTGAAGGAACATCTGCAGTAAAGCTTCCTAACTGTTGCAGCATTACTAAATTAAGTCATATTATTTAATGAAGTATATTCATACTGAATTATCTAACAGCTGCAGCCATAGTTGTTGCATGATGTTAGGGAATCTTCCAATGGTATTATTATTGGTAAATAAGCCTAAAAAACAAAGATTTGCTGCAATCATCCAAATTCAGGTCAGCAGGCAAACCTTTTACACCTTATTCTGACGAGAACCAACCAACAACTGCCTGCCTAAACCACAGGTGTCAAAACTGTTACGTGGGGTGAAATTTTTTTTTTTTTTTGTACCCAAAAATTTAAATTATACTATGAATTGTGTACCTGCTCAATATAAACTAAGCTACAACATTTTAAAGAAAGTAGTCTGACTTTTTGTAGGAACAGGACATGTGGATCACTGTAGAACCAAAACTTAAAAAGTTGTTTTCTCATTTCTCTGTGACAAGACAGGCCATCCGTTTGCCAATTCATTTGGCTTTGATCGCAAAGAAATGGGTAACAATTTTATAGTTTCAATTAGGATGCAAATGTGACCTCAGACCACTTATTATTCATCACAGTACAGTGGATCAGTGGATCTGAGAGAAAGAGACAGTTTAAAATCCGTTTCAGACCTAGCTGTTACTAGGTCTGAATGCCCGAAATTTGTTTTCCTAATATGTTTATTTCCCTTCACCAACAGCCTGCAAAGAGTGTTTCCCAGTACAGAACACACATAAAAATACGGTACATATTGCTCATGATCTGCACTGAATGCCGCTCTGCAGACAGGATTGATTTGAAACATAATTTTAATTTGACAACAGAAATGTATTCGTTAATCAGGATTATAACAAAGTTTCATTTTTAACGGGCATTGGCGCAGCCAACTAAACTTTAGAAAAATCTGTAGTTTCAACCGGTTAGTCTAGCACACCGTTACCTATAGATTAGCACAGCTGTTAGCATGCGAGCTGGCTAGGCTACAAACAGAAACACTGATCTCAGTTTGTGTTCTTAATAAACTAAATAAATCCTTCATAAACCTTAGATTAACTGGAACCAAACCTTCATACATTTGAGATGAGACTTTAAATATACAAACCGAGTCTTTGCAGCCGATCTTCGGGGTTGGAAACAACCTCCATTTCGTGTTCCTGTTTGAACTGATGTTTCTGTTCCAGCTGGGCTTCAGTTCGTTTCACTTCTGCCCGGAAGTCACAAACTTTCCATCTTCCTGTGTTTTTTTCGCTCCGGCTCCGGTTCGAAAACCAAAAAACCCCAAAAAACAAATCACCGCGCTCCCACAGCCGCTGTTGTGTTGATGGAGTCCGTCTACTAGACATTTTCTTCTTCTTCTGTTGGTGATTTATACCGTACAGAGCGTTACCGCCACCTACTGGACGGCTGTGAGCATGACTAGAAACATTTCAGTCCCCAAACCTGATTCTCTGAGCAAAATCCAGTAAAATCCAATTCTCCTAATATAGTTATCCATGTATTGATTAGTAACAGTTATTTATTCTGGAATTCATATATTACCAGGAGATTTTGGAAAGAATGTAATAACTATAATTTGTAATGTTGATTCTAGATTTTCACTAAGATATACATTTCTTTTTTGTTTTTATGGAAAGAATACAAACAGGCAGAAGACTGGCATTAATCCAGTCATTATATTCAGCTACATCCCTGTCAAACTTTATTACATTGTGTTTTGTTCATCACTTTATTTGTATTTGTAGGTTTTCTCAATAACAAAAAAAGTTTCTCTTAGCTAATATAATAAAAAAAAGTAGCTGACTTTTTCACAGCTAACCATTTAAAGTAATGGCTAATTTCACTCTTTCCTGTTATTTACTGTTAAAAAGCAGAGGAGGGTTTAGTTACATTTACACCAGTAACATTTTATAAGGGATATTCAGTAGCTTTTTCACATTTTAGTAAAAAAACACCAACTTGAATAAATGCAAGGCTACTCTACCACCTCTAGTTAATCTGCTGATAAATAAACATTTCAAAAAGTATTTAAGTCACACACTTTTACTGTTGATGTTATAGTGAGACCTTTAATGTGTACACCAATTTCACTGTTCAAACTGTAGATATTTTTACTGGACGTACTTTGCATAATTTTTACAGATAAATTATTTTAAGTATTGAGTTTAAAGTTTTGTGAAACAGAAAGCAGTTGAAACCACACTAAAGGTCTAGACTCATCATAACCAATTATCAACACCTGCTGTATTACCATGGTATATGTACCAATTACATCTAATATTTGTTAGAGACTAATATCAACGATGGGCATAAAACAATGTCAAATACTTAAACCACAGATCCTCTCAGAGAGCACAGTAACTTGGTGAACAAACTGCCAGACTTATACTTGTGCCTAATTTCACATTACAGTCCATAAACTAAGCCTGGGATCAAACAATTGTATTGAAGATGTCATTAGCAGAGACAAATGGTTCTACAGAGACTTGGCTAAATGGCTATAAAATAAAATCAATTGTTACAAATAAAAGATGGTTCAAAAATAAAATCAATACTTACAAATATAAAAATGGTTCAAAAATTAAATTAACACATTAAAATGAAAAATATCTCTGAAATACAATCAACACTTGAAAATTAAAAATGGTTCAAAAAT